ATACATTTTAACTAAATGTACAGTTAATAATTATTTCCATTCAATTTGTATTGAAAAAAACTATATTATATTTTATGTGTGAATGTATAATATTATATTAAAATTAAAAACCGATAAACGTTGGTAAATTCAATCAAAAGAGGACATTTTAAAAACATTTTATATTATTCATTAAATATAGATTTCAAATTTAATTTAATTGTAATACTATATTGAGTAGATACATCATGCGATGCAGATAATTAATCTCTTTAACGATAATAATTACATATTTATGATTTCTAATATTGCAAACGACTGTCGACTATTTAAAACACATTATTTATTGGAAGTTAATGGAAAAATATTTGTTACAAATAATAACATAAATATTATAAGTACTTACAACGGAAAAATATATTGGTATTTATAAACAAACGTAACACTGATAACACCACTCATTAACTTTGTTCAAACCAGTAAAAAAATAATACGAACTCGCTACGGATTTATTACAAATCGTTTTCGATCTTGTGCAGTTGAAAAATGTGTATACAATTTGATTTATACAGCCCATGTATGACTTTCGATCAAGAGCATATGTTACACGTGCACGCGTGCGATGAAAAAGAGTTTATCGAAAAGTAAAAAAAAATAACACTGTAAAACACTGTAAAAACAATAAAGATTTGTTTGTCTCTCAGCTCCGTTTGAAGTCCGACGTAAAAAGATAAACGTATAAATTGCATCGTGGAAAAAAAAAACCATACCCGATTCATTATTAATTATAATTATTCTCAGCAAGGAGCGGGTTCAACAGCATTAATTCATTTTTGAGTTCAAAAACAAAATCGTACGCAAATAATAGGTACACATAATAATATAATCATCATTCGCAGGTGTTACGATAAAATGATTTACGATACTGTCGTGGACGCAGAAACATGCTCGGCGTTGTTCACCCGTACGATGTCGTGGGTGTGTGGGTGTAATAATATATTATATGTTTGTGTTTGTCTTAAATATATTATATTATATTATCGCTTAACGAGGAGAAGACACGTCTTGTGATCGTGTAAGTGAATAATATTTGTACCGTTTTCGGTTGGAGCGAGTGTAAGGGGTGGTAGTGGGGTGGCACTCGGCATGCCGTCTATAGGAAAAACATTTGGCGGATTATCGTGTTACGTGCGCTTAAAAAACACACACACATACAAACTGTATAATAATTATTGCTACATGCACAGCAATAATAATATTATAAAATTATGTACGAAAACATTGTATAACAGCGGCGTTATGTATTTGCACCGCCGTTGTTGCCATACATTATACCAGCTGCAGGCCGTATTGTATGTAATCTATTCACGTACAAACGGATTTTTACAATATTTAAGACATCATTCTAGGTAAATATTATCGACAAGTTGATATTAGTTTTTCGACAGGTTGGTTTATGATTTGAAATAATTTTATTTAAATATAATATATATTTTTGTACACACCCGCTGGTGTTTTCCTTCTTGGTCCCACAATGGTATATAGGTACTAATTTTAAATTTCATATTCTTAGCATTTAATATTTTACCACTTTTAATACATTTTAAAATCGAACATTTTATTATTATTATTGTTCATTCAACAGTCAATAACTTATAAATTTGGTTTAAAGTGAATATAATACGAACAGTATTATAGTTGTGAAAAACAATATCTAAAAATACTGAAATATGTTTTGCTATGGACTTAATGAATTCGATTTAGATTTAATGATAAATAATTGCCCAAGAAACATGTTTCTGAACAGAGACAATTTCAGCCTCAATTTACAAGGATATTTGATATCGGTTGTTGATTTATAGTATTATTAATAATTTATGTTTCTATTGATAGTTTAGTAGTTTTAACCAAGGACCTCTATTGAACTATATTATGTATAAACCAGGGACTGGAACCATTTGAATTTATCGGTATCGGTTCCGATCGGTAGGTTAATAAAAATAAAAATCATCAAAATGTAAAATTGACAATTTAAATGGAAAAGTAAAACTTTAAATAATGTTTTAAATCTAATTACAATTCAGGAAAGTATTGAGTCAGTATAAAATTCATGTAATTTAATATTATAAAATCAATAAAATATTTTAAAATTTCGATATCTATAATAAAAAATTTTAATTAAAATCGAAAAATTTCATTTCGATTTCATGCACTGCAGAGCAGTATAATATAGCGATAGATGTTCAAAATAATCATTTACGTGGGAGAGGCTTGCATACAAATTCCAAAAAAGGTCTTACAAATTCATACAAATGATGTTCTTGAATCGTGCAGTATTAAATATAGGAATACTTAATTATTTACATAAGTGGTATGTACTTTCGTAGTTTGGATATTGCTCGATTACTGGTGTAGAACAAAATGCTAAAACCTGTCAAAAAAATGCATACAAATGACGTACAAAATATTTGGATACAAATTTTCGATAATTTCATTGTCAGAGGGGGGAACACGTATGTGTTTGGCCCCTGTACCCTTCAAACGTATAATACGAATGAAATCGGGTTTTTTTTCCTACGGAAAACTGACTTTCCGGTGTGTGTGTATAATATTAATAAGTCGTCTTGAGTGAGGACAAAAAAAAATCAGTGCATATATATATATATATATATATGAGTGGGAAACGACTGGAGGTGGACCACCGGTCGGACCGATGATGCACGGGAGGCAAGGAGAGTTCAATGGTCCGTACCGCGCAATAATACAAACTCGCACGTTTTATCGGCGGCGGACTGCGGGTTACACGCCCGAACCGTCTACCGCGTAACCGTTTCGCCCGTCGTGGTATTTTATGTAATATATATATATTTGTACATTTTTTTTTTTTTTAATCAAACATTCCGACCGCCCGCGGAGGCCGCTGGGGGGGATGTGTGAAAAAAATTTCCAAACACCATATCGAGTAGCGGCACATGCAAACACACACACATACTTGTATGGAGGTAAATATTATAGTTGCAGTGATAATATTGTATAAGGCGTATAATAGTGTTATTAAATCTCGTGTTCATTATAATATACGTGTATTGCGATTCTGGCGAAAATTTGACGGCTAGTGTGCCCCCGCGACCGTCTATTACCACTATACCTCACCTATCTTTATATTATTATGTAGTCGGGGCAGAGATTTATTCGTAATTATTGTGTTGTGACCCCGCGGGTCGCGATTTTTTTTCAGAGGACGTGTTTTTTTTTCCAAGCGACCTCTCCTCGTTACACTACTGATGATATTTTGTATTTAACGTTATTTCAATTTATCGTATATACCTGCAGTGGCCCAGAGTGTTATATTTCCAAATATTTTCCAGTGAAATATTTAAGTCGTGTACGTCAAAATAATTAGTTGTGTTTAGGTACCTATATTAGGTATAATATACAGGCCACGACATATTTAAAAAAATTTTTCAATTTCAAATTACTATGTTATAATAGAGGTAGATAATGTTATGGTTGATTGAAGTCAGAGTGTTATTTGTTTTAAAGTTTTTAACGTTAACTTTCAAATATTAATAGGTTTTTGAATATTTAATTCAGGGGTAGGTTGTAGGTACCTATATTATGGATTTTTATTTCCTGTTTTGGTGCTCAATTATTTCATTAAAAAGTCCGGTTTCAGATGACTAAAACGTGTTTAATAATTATTCAACAGTATCTGTTTAATTCTTTGTACAAACAGAAAATAAAAATATATAAAACTATATAGGTAGATTAGTAATTGGACCTAGTATTTAACCAGGCGTTCTCAGCCACAATTTTCTTTGAATTAAGCATTCGTTAAAACTATAATTTTTGGAATTTTTATGTATACCTATTGATCTTATATTTTAATACTCATATTTTTAATACCTGCAGTGTCCTTGATACAAACTTCATATTTTAAACGAGAAATAATCTTTTTTCTGAATGTTTCCCTAAAAAATGTTCCTAATAATTTAAAAATTGTTGTGTTTCTTAACTGGTTCTTGTCCATTGTATTTTGATTGCCTATTATATAACATTATAATTACAACTATAAATTTTCGAGAAATATCATGTTTGTTATAACTTATAGCGGAACATAATGGCTCCGCTGCATAATACCTAAGTCCTAGACAGGGCTTGCAAACGTTATAATAACGTTATTATAACTGAAAGCGATAATCAAAAATAATTAAATACCGCAAAACAAAACATATCGATTAACAAAATATATATTATATATCATTAAACAAAACATACCTAACGCAAAACGTAATTTATAGAATATCATTGAACGAAAAATAACGCAAAAGGAAATGTTTTAAATCTATTTATTTAATAGGTCTAATGGTTTCGTAGAAACATTCATTTCATGCAAACAATCTAAAAATTGACTATATTATATTATCCACCCTTATTAGTTATTATTTTTAAATTTAATAGGTATCAACACTATTTTAAATAACGATAAACGCAAAACTTGTACAACGTTTTAGTTCTAAATAACGATAAACGCAAAACTTGGATAACGTTTTAATTCTGAATAACGGTTAACGCAAAAGTTGAATAACATTTTAATTCTAAATAATGATAGGTAGGTACACTCAAAAATTGTGTAATATTTTAGTTGTAAATAACATAAAATGGAATTTTTTTTTTCAAATTTAGTCCTGGTCCTAGGGTATCTATAATTATTATAATGACGTATTTGTGATGTTTGCTGACTCACTACTTTTTATATTTCAGCTGACCTGACCAGCATCGGCCGCCACGAGTATTATTATTATTACTGTAGTATTTCGTACCCCGCGACGTCCTCGGCCTGCAGGATTACAGCGGAAGCGGTGGACGTCTTAGTCGCGGCACACACATCGCGTCCGTGGGCCGCGTACCTATAACGATAAACGCTTGGAAATCGCGAGCACAGCAACAATAACATAACAATTCAAAAATAAAATATATATATTCGACCTCCGTCGTATAATACGCATCGTAGCCCGACGATGATGCACGCCAATCGACAGTGGCCCTTCCAGCGATCCGGTAGCAACGGAAACGGCATCGTGTACGGTGTCGACTATAACCACGACGACGGAGGAGGCGCAGATGACGACGACGACGCCGCCGCCGAGGAGTTTGGTGACTTCGGCGGCGATCCGACCGCATCCGGCAGACGGTACTTGACTGTACAGCCAAAACAGTGGTGCACGTCCTACGTGGCTGCCAACCGACAACACTACGTGAGTATACCATTACGTGAATATATTATACTTTCTGCAAAAATAATATTATAAGAATAACCTTAGGTATAGGCGTGAGCAGGATTTTTTAGCGGGGTGTGCAGAACAATAATATTATTATTGAAGGTTACCTTAAAATGTTTTAATTATTCTGCGAGAGGCATACTATAATTTTCTGTTTTTTCAAGTCGATGTCTGTACATCAGACATAATATCATCGCATTTGTATGATATTAGCTTACGGTCGGAGATACCACCGGTTATTGCACCGAAATTATTCTTTAACAGAAAATATAAAAACATGCTTGTCGAAAAAAAAAGGTACAGATAGCAGGTTTTTACACAGGACCCTTATTAAAATTAAGCCGGTGTAACTACGTGGTAATCATCCCTAGACGTAGATACTATCGTATATATTCACAGCCATACAGAAATATTATTATCTATGTATATAAAAGAACTTGTCCTGACTGATTCATCACCGTTTAGCCGGAACCGCTGGCACTTATATGAGCATGAAATTTGGTATGTAGTTTTGTTTCATGATGTAATGGCCCACTAAGAAATGATTTTCCAGAATTTCACCTCATTTTTAAGAGGTGCTCTAACAGGAATTTTGCTATTGCTTTTAAATCGTGGCTTAAAACCAATTTAAAAATTTCGATTTTGTATACTGGTTTCCAATTTTTTTCGGTTTCAGCTTTAAATTATAATACCGGCTTCCAATTTTTTCCTGTTTTGTTTTTGATTTTCTTTTTGGTTTCAGTTTTTGGACGGTTTATATCGGTTTCTAAAACTGGTTTCAAGACCTGGACTTTTTACGTTCATTCTTATAGTATTTTAATTTATTTGAATTGTCGGATCGTGCCTTTGAATTGCCTTTTTTATAAAGTTAACTTTCAAAAATGTTCATGATACATGGATTTTTTAAAAAAAATACAGTTTTTTAAATTATATTGTAGGTTTCGGTTTTGATTTTTTAACGGTTTATACCGGTTTTCAAAAAGGTTTCAAGCCAGCTGGTTTTAATAATAATAGTTATAATAATCCGTTGGCGCATAGGAACTTATATACTTATATTTTAGTACAGAATGTCTCGAGTTTGAACCACGATTTCGGTTGACCAATTTTTTGCATTGTTTTTTTTTTTATTTTTACTTTGATGCCTATTTTAGAGTCAAATTATACCACGTGGGGTCCACGATCTACCTGCTAATTTACTGTTCGCATAATCACTAGCCAATCTCCCGGAATGGCTATAAATTAAAATATAATATCATTAATTTCACATAAAAAAACATCAATTCCAGAGCGAATTACGCCCAAAAATGAGTTGAACAATCACAATTTTTTTCCAGTGAACGCTGGGTAATTCAGCTAGTGTTTCATATTTGTATGTTACATAATATGTCCCCTATAATTAATAATATTATTTTTTAAATAAATCAAATATTTATAGACTATAGTATAGATATGTAGAATTGTTCATAGGGTGAACTAATATCAGTAAATTAGTAAGTGCGGTGTACCTACACAGTGAGTAATAATAAAAGTAGTAATAAAAGTGTAGTGTGCTTACAAAAACATTATACTATACTATTGGTATAAGACATAAGTACTTTGATAAGCATACATTGTTGTGTTTAAATTCACCTAGGTACCTATACCATACACATTTTTTTTCATTCAACCACATATTATACTTTGGTAGGTATTGGTCTATCACGTTTCGGTCATATTATAAAACCACAACTATTTTCAAATCGGTAATATTATTATTGTTGAATAAAACAATCATTGTATATTTTATTGCAATTTAAAATCATCATATTATATTGGTTGTGTCGTTGCGTCGCGTAGTGGTGAGGACGAATGCGGAAATGTGAGCGCGGCGATTATGCTAGGTATCGTATTATTATTGCTCATTTTGTCAAGCGTTTCGTTTGGAATCGAAAACGTTAAAATTCCGTCGTACCGTGATTATAATATATATTATATACATATACATTATACACAGCGCCGCAGTGATTATAAAGAGAAAAGCAATAAAAACTAAAAACAAAAAAAAGACCAAAAATTAATTTCGTGCGGCCGTTTAATTCGCGCGCGCCGCCGTCCGTCGCCTCCCCCTCCACGATGACTATGACGACGATGACGACGACGAAGCCGGTTTAATTAAAAAAAAAAAAAAATACAACGATGGCGACAATAAAAAGACCAACTATACTGTACACCGCTATACTGAAAACGGTATAAATATATAAACACTGGTACAGAGACGTCCTTCGTTTGGTGGCGATGAAGTGGGGAAGGGGCGCTCTTATCGTCCGCCGAGGGTATATTTATATACAGGGTGATCGTTTTGACGAATGTTTTCATTCTGTGACTTTGAAAACGTATATCATCATATTTTTCGTAAAACACCCATTTTCATATATAGCTGCAGCTGTGCCTGTGTACAATATATGAATTATGTACGTATTAAGAAGCTGAGTACACATTTTTTTTCATGACTAGACGTATATAGTTATTCTGGTATTCTGGATTTTATTAGGATATTAATTTACCCGCAGCCAGCGAATGTACTGTTCTACCCTCCCGCCTTTATTTATATTATTAATGACGGTCCGTAATAAACGATAGGCACCAGCAGTACGTGTTTTAAAAACATTATTTTATATTGTATACGGTGTATACCATAATTTATTATTTCATGTGAAATACTACTTTTAAATATGATGTAAAATACTAAAATGTGTTGAAAATAATCAGTGATCAATGTCGCTTGTGACAACAATATCTGGCTTTCCTTAGATAGAGGCTCTCCGAGATCTTCTCGAGTACTCAAAATTCTCGAATCGTCTTTTTATCTGCTAATTGCAGCTGTGTACATTTCGGAGCAATAAACTAAAAATGATTAAACATTATGATATTATTATGAGTATTTATAATGATTGTATATAACTCTTAAGTACCTCCACTTAATCGTATCGTCTGAATTTAAATGTCTACAAAAACGAGAGAAGCTATAATGGCCCAAGTTCTTCATAATAAATATTTAAGTAGATCGAAAATTTAAAAAAATATATATTTTTATTCTACTTAATTAGTATGCAGAAATTAGTCAGGATTGAAATTTTTTTTCGATAAATAAAAACGGCTGAACTTACAAGTAATTACAAATTACTTACCAATTTTTGAGAAAAATTTTATTAAAAATGTTAATTTAGGTGGCTCACAGACTTTCACATGGGTGTAAAATAAAATTACATAATATACACCTTTTGATAAAATAAACTAATACAATTTCAATAAAAATATTTACGAAAAAAATATATAAGAGACCATGTAAATGTTTGGAATAGAGACTGAAACCTTGATTATTTTTACGGTTCCGGGTACTGTTCAGCTCCCAGAAAAAATAAAATTTCGGTTTTGGTTCCGGGTTGCTTATTAAAAATAAAAAATTTGCTACCCGTTTTGGTTTTGTACTTATGTAAAAAAATTTGTAAAGTAAAAGTATTGGTTTCGGTAAGGTTCCAGTTTTTAAATTAATTTAAATAAGGGATCCGGTGAGGTTCCGGTATTAAAATTAATTTAAATAAGGGTTTCGGTGTGATTTTGGTTCTCAAAATCGGAAGGGTTCTGGTTCCCAAACCGGTTTTTTCGGTAAAATTCCAGTCACTGGTTTGGACATGATGAATACTTGCAGCGATCTCGTGTTGTCCTTTCCCAGCTAGTTTTTTTTTAAACATTTTAATCGGCTCTGGCGTCGTCTTGGTTGCACACACAGTAACCGCACTGTAACGTACTCTGCAATACCCGCGTGTGAGTGCGTGTGTTTTATTAGTTTAAACGTTTTGAATAAAAAAATCGAGACAAATTGAGAGTGAGGCACACACACACACACAAATGAGGCAAAGAGAGAGAGAGAGAGAGAGAGACATGGTTAGAGAAAGAGTGAAAATGGGCAAACGACAGCGTGGCCGAATAATCTGAGCGTGTGTAATATGGGAAAACGGAAAAAAAGACCGACGACCGTTTTTTGTTTTTTATTTTTTCGTTTTGTGTTTAATCACCGCGTATTACACACACGTATATTGCGAACGTGCTTGGAAACGGTGTGTTAACTCGATATATATATAATATATTATATTTATATAGCGTGTTCGGACACCCGTTTATTGTATTATATACACGCAGCAGCCGTTAAATTATAACAATGTCACACGGCTCTATTATTCGTATTTAGTACGATATTACAGAGGATACAAAGTTGAGGGTAGGTACATTATAATATATTATATGGGTACTGCAAGTGGTGTGGGAGTGATCACTGGTCCATCCCCTCAGGCCGAGTATTTCAAGATAAAAAATATGGATGTATTGATTGAAGTATTGGCCACGACTTTGTAAAATAAAATTGAAATCGTTTTTTAGCTTCAAATTTTCAAAAATCTCACGCCCCCTCTGGACCACTTCTGACAATACGGGAGAGCGTCGCAATGATCTTGTGTACACTGAAAGGTCTTATAAAAATGTTGCGTTACGAAATCTACAAAGGTCTTGGTTTTTGGTAAAACAAAATTTTGATGACCCCCAGTACAGCTGTACAATAGCGTAATTTTATTGTGTGGAGGGGTGTGATTTAGATGTCGGTCTGCGCCTCTTATTCTTTTAAACTGTGACAGACACTTGTCTTGAAAAAAAAAGAATGGTTTTCAGTACAATTTAAACTAAGTTTATCCGCAGAATTAAATACTACTTGGGGGAATATCGTAATTTTTATCTTCACAAACATTTTTATTCTAGAAATATTTTCTAAACCACACTGACATAATATTGTAACAGATGTGTGTGATTTTATAAGTTACATACATACATAATACTGCAGGTGAAAAAATTAAAATCTATTTTATTATAGAAATGCAGAATCTCTATAAAATCTTAACCAGTACAATTTCAAGTTATTTGGATCCTATAGGTTTCTCGTTATCAAATATTGTGTCATTGTTCTATACAGCTAATTATAATACTATAACAGATCAATAGGA